AGTCCTGATAGGATTGTTTGGAAGGATCTAAATCCCCATCCACTCTATTGGCCCATTTACCAATTATGCACATGTCTCTCCCATGTTTTTCCTTGCTCCAAAGTATATTGCCTTTGCTTGGGTGATATAGACAACCTTATACATATTTCACTTTGAGTGCCATTTTGCTGGGACAGAAAAATAGTATGATTGTTTTTCCATAGAAGTAAAGAATAATGAAAAAGTTCCAGTGCAATGAATATACTCATTGGCTTAGGACACTGAAGCCCCAAGCCAGAAGCCCACACCCAGGTCAGCTCAGCACGTCATACACGTCTGGAATGGTTTGAAATATTCTAAGGACATATACCTACCTCTTTTGTAAACAATGCTTCTAACTCCTGCTCATCCAGAAAACCATCATTGTTGACATCTATAAGAAATGGAGTACATATAAATGCAATTACAGAAAAATAGCATACTCCAATACAACAGGTCTAATTCACAGACTGTCCACACTTTTAACTTCTGTTTCTAACAAATAGAATATTAGATAAGGCATGGAATGGATTTGTTTCTCAGTTTATCAATGGGTTAGATTTTTGTCTGATCATATTTTCAAACTGAGTTTAAAAAAAACAACAACCAGCAAATAGTTTTAAAATTTTGCTCTCCAAGTTGTCACTCTCTTGTGACAACTTTGTAGGCTAGAAAAATACTTAAAATAAAATATTAATGAATAATATTTGAATAAAAATCAAAACTCATACTAGGAGGTATCTGATTTAGGAAAATGGGTCAAAAGAGGCTTAACAGAGACATTTGTCTAATTATCTTTCTCTTATGCATAAGAATCCACAATACCAGTGATACATAAACTTTATATGACAATGTTTTCAGAAAGTAGATCAAAGCAGGTGGCCAAACTGAATAGCAAAAATGGCTATTATTTTCCAAAGCATCCTCATGTAATTGATTCCAACTTTAAAAGTGGATTTACAAGAGAAGCAATGTACAGTATACATTTATAGCTTTTTTTTTTACTTTTCTTCATTTTCTATTCCTATTGTGACCATTCCTGACAAACTGTTTAGACTGCACATTGTTGATTAGCCACATCAGTTTTAAACATGATTTCCATAGCAAGAGACAGAGATACATATTTTGGGAAAGGCAGCAGAAAGAACCTTGTTACATGTTACTTCCAAAACCTCTACTGATTGTTAAGACACCTGAAATTGCAATGTCTGCATATGGCATCTTGCTACTAGATAAGATAGGTAACACTTTACTTATAGTTTCTCCCACATAAAAGGGAATGCCACAACAAATCTGTTAGTCTTTACAGTGCCAGAAGACTACTGACATATGACTACTTCTACTCCTCGGTAGAAGTAATGCAAGAATATTACTACAGCTTGTTGTTCTTTAATAGCAGATTTTCTGCGTCTTACCATGTAACTTGAAAAATGTCTTTGGATCAAAGTCGTTTGGGTCCAGCCCATCTGCCTCCTCCCATACCTCTTTCAACTGGTCTTTGCTTCCCTGCAAATTGATCGCAAACAACAAGTGTGGAAATGATTACACAGATATTTCTTGAGAATGCATTCTGCTAAAGCCATATTACCTGTATAAGATCAGCTTCAAAATCTGGTTAATCATTTTCCACATACTAACAAGCACAAGGCACCAGGTCTGTGAGTGGAGGTCGCACTGAACTAGAAGAGAAGATATTTTTCCTTTCGCTTTGCACCTGCCAAAGATGCCCTCTGGAGAGTGAGGTGGGTCATTTGGAACAATATGGGTGATGGCTTGGGGGATGTGGGGGTGGGACAGTGAAAATTACATCCTCTATTCCAGTGGTCCCCAACCTTGAGCCTCCAGATGTTCTTGGACTTCAACTCCCAGAAATCCTGGCCAGCAGAGGTGGTGGTGAAGACTTCTGGGAGTTGTAGTACAAGAACATCTGGAGGCCCAAGGTTGGCGACCACTGCTCTATTCCACAGAAGCCTCCATTGTGTCTTAGAGGGAGCCCTTCCATATTTTTAAAACCCTAAAGCCACTGAAATGAAAGGCACTCCATTAGCGCCAGCCTCTTCAATGTTAATGTTGTCTTATATTCACCAAAACAAAGTGAATTCAAGAGTTAGGTCAGTTTTAAGTATATAATCATGCTATTCTTTATTCTTCATTTAAAATATTAATGAATATTGATTCTCCTTATGGCATAAATACAAACTGCTTACAGGATGATTAACTTTTGGGTGATTGCTATGCTTCTTTTTCATTTCCTCATATTTGGATTCCTCTTGGTGTCGCTTTTCTTCATCCAATGTTTTTAAATATTCTCTTCTTTCATGTTCTTTCATCATTTCATATTTCTTAAACTCCTCATGACGGGCCTTGTCATAGTTTTCTAAGTCACTAGTGGCCTAGAGATAAAAAAGAAAAATAAGAACATGGTAGTTTTTGCACAGAGGCATACGGCCACGCCACATATTACTGTAGGAAGGTTAATGCCTGTCTCAGGGAAGACCATACTGCTACACAGTCCATTTTGAGAAATCTTTGCACAAATATATTCAAAGAGATGAGAAAGATAGTAGAAAAATGTTACCAGTTTAACTGTTACTGAGCTCAGTATCAGTTTGTGTTAACAGTACACTAACACAAAACAAAAGGGGGAAAAAAGCCGTCATGGCACCTTAAAGGCTAACTGCTATATTTTAGTGTAAGCTTTCATGGAACATAGCCACTTCATCACACATAAGAGTCAGAATACACAGACTACATAGAATAATAATGGAAATAAATTGGACATCAGAAATTGAAATACACAGAAATCTATTTCAAATAACTTCAATCTACCGGGACACTCTTCACAAGATAGAAAGCTGCTATTCTGGAGAAGAAATATTACACAACAAGAATCCAGAGGGAAACAGCTGAGATAAACATATACACATGCCGGACACTCATCTCAATGGACTAAATATCAATCAAGATTTCTTTAGCCATTACCAAACGTGATAATTATGGTGTTATCTACTATTATTTTGCCTTCCCAACTAATGAGACCCAACTTTTTAGAACAAGGCTCAAAAGGAAAGTCTGTCATTTCCCATATTACCACATGTTTTAAATGCTGCTGTTTCCTTTAATCACTGTTATTTGCAATCATTGCTACAGAACCAAGTCTCAAAAGAACTGAATAGTGAACAGGGGTCCTAAATCATTGCTAGGTGTGAAATGCAACCAAACATCATTGTGCCTTTAACTTAGAGCTTTGCATGAATGTTCTACCATATAATCTCTGTATTATGACTCTTATGTCGGATATGTTCCACAAAAGCTTAGATTAAAATATAATACTTAATCTTTAAAGTGCCACAACAACTTTTTTTGTTTTGTTTTGTGTTTCTTCTTGAAATACTTGCACAGACTAATATGGCTACAACTTCAGAAATGCACTAACAGCTTTCTAACCATTAACCATTTTCTACTAGATTTCTGTCTCTGAATATTCATGGATAAAATGGATACAGGATATAAATTATAGCTGTAATTCTTGCATTTTCTGTTCTAAAATTATAGCACCCAGATTCATAATGCTGATTGTAGCAGTTTGGGAGGCCCTTGTACAATAATCAACTACTGGGTACTGTAGCCTCATCAAATATAGTTCAGTGGTTTAGGCATCTGACCGCAGAGCCAAAGGTTGATTCCCCACTGTGCCTTCTTGACAAAAGCTGAACTCAGTGATCCATAGGGTCTCTTCTAGCTTTACAGTTCCAAGATGATGATGCCAATCTTCAAAACTTAGAAATGTTAACCAATACTGTATCCCAAAGTCACAGAAATGCCAAAAGTTCCTTCAATCTCATTTTCACCCAAATCTGATCACTGTGTTTATGCAAACACAGAGAGCTATTCTGTCCAACATTTTATTTTTTAAAGTAATAGTTATCCCTATGCCTTATGGGCTCCTGGCAAGGCTGGCAACCTTCAGTGCCTGCCCATTTTCTAGACCTGACCAAACAGAGTCTGATCTCTGGCGGGTGCTATACTGTGCCAGAGGCTAAAAACCTTTTCTTCGAAATGAGTGTTCATGTTCCATACACTTACTCAACCAAACCATAACACACTTTCACAAAACCAGATATACCATCTGAAATTACAATAGTACATACAGCACCACTTTCAACACGGCAATCTAAACTTAACAACCCCACTGTGTTACAGAGAGGAGTTACAGCTAAGTTACATCTAGCAACAACAATAAACTGATTCAGAAGATGTGCTCCTACTTAGATTATATCACAGCAGAATACAGTACACATATCTGAACACAATCATAGATACATAACGATATATATATGTTGTGGATACACGCCTACAATGGCTGTATCTTTTAATTCCCTTTTCTGAAAAATGATTACAACTGCTGAGTAACTATAAACTGAGAGCATTTTAGGGACTTCAGCAGCCTTTACATCCCATCTTTGTAACATCAAAAGTACTGCTTTGCAGCAAAGACCCAGCAGGCAAGAGTCCAAGCATGATCGGTGTTGCCACAATCATATTAATAACGATGCCTGGTTCTATTTGCTGTGGCTTTCAACTTCCCTGAAATATAGCCATATTTCTGCAGATATCTCTTCAGATTTTATTGTTATAAAATCTTTGGGTCTTCCCTGGCCATTTCTTTGCTTTTACTGTTAGCTCTACAGATCAGGTCTGCACCAACAATGTTCCATGGTGTTCTTTATTTTTTTAAGCTGTGCCTTCTGCTATTTCCTGCCTGACTCTTTCCTTCTATGCTTCTGCACAAAAAGGCTTCCCTCTTTATACATTGGCTTCACTACTGTAATTTAAAGTTGGTTTCTGAATGTTTCTTCATTCTGTTCCTTACTATTATTCTTTCCCTAAAACAAAACTCAGTACCATTTCCTTAGTCACCCACAGTGTGCAGCAGTGTGCTAAAAATCCTCCAGCAAACATTTCATTTGGCAATATAATCACTAGGAGGAGCTAAGAACTTGTAGAACAAGAGGAAAATACCAGTACAGTACAGTATATCTTTAAGAACAGTAGCATCTTCTGAAGTAACTTATTTGCTGTCCTCTGTACACTCTAAAATGGAATATACATCCTAGGTATAAAATATGGATTTCTATTTTCAAGAGCCCAAGTTTTTAAATTCAGGATAAAGGCCCATTTAAAATCTTAAAACTTAAAAATCAGATGACCTGTGATTTTTAAAGTGGCCTTGTGGGCCAGATAGGCGGGGTATAAATCAATCAAACAAACAAACAAACAAACAAACAAACAAACAAACAAACAAACAAACAAACAAGAAAGAAAGAAAGAAAGAAAGAAAGAAAGAAAGAAAGAAAGAAAGAAAGTCATTGAACATTAATTGGCAGATTAATTAACTAATGCTTTGCCAAGGTAAATTTTAAGGAAGTGCATTAATTTGAATAGACAAATGGATGGATGTCCTATCTTCCTAACACTGAGTTGCATCTTTTTTGTGTGGCTGATATGTATCTCAAAAGATGCCTATCAGTTTAAATGTAACCACACAACTGATTAAAAGGGAAATGATTAATCAAATAGATTATTACATTCTTTGACATCACACACATACACAGAAACAAAGATGTCGGGGGGGGGCGGAATGTCTACAAACAACAAGTTGGCATACTAATGAGAACTCAGCAAGAGAACTCAGTTTAAAGGTCCTGGAAAAAACTTAATGCTGCTGGTACTGGCATGGGTATGGATGCCACATGAGGCACCAAAGAGAAAAATGAACAGACTGTTTTTCAAATGCACAAGAATGTCTCCTGTGGTACACTATTATATTACAGAGCCAAATGGGATTCTCAGAGTATGACTCTTGAGGTCAGTATGAACCTTATTCAAAAAGGAAACAAGAAGAGAGAGAGAGAGAGAGAGAGAGAGAAATGAGTTTCACTCTAGAAAAATACAGTAAAAGGAGCAAACAAGCATCTGTAAAAGTATTTGCTCAACACTTACTGCTCTGATTAGCATGTCTAAATCTTTAGCTTCAAAAGTATGGGGGTTGTTGTGGTTCAGATGCTCAAACTGTTTGAGAAGAGCTTGATGATCAATGCCAGAATCTAAAAACAACCCACACAAAAACAGAACTGTTGGAACTAGATTTATTAAGAAATGCAATATATAAAGCACCACATGGAAGTCAAAGCATCATTTTAAAACACAAAGCATATCTAGAGCCCACAGTGCTAGGGCGTCCTTCAAGGATACAATTTATGTGAGGTGAAAAGAACCCTGGGACTTAGTCAGGCTCAGTGGCTGAAATGTTTAGAGAGAAGGCCAGGCCAAGACATGGTTTTGTTCTCTACCTGGACTGCCCAATGGCATCATCCTAATTATATGTACAAAATCTGACTGGGCTGCCACTTGACCTTCTCTTAATCCTTGGTGATGGGACTTCGATCACACCTGAAGGCAGCCTAGAGGAGTTACAACACATAACAGCATCTTCTAACTCTTCACTGCCAATCTTCTTGCTTCACTATTCCTCACGCCCTACTCTGGTTGGCATGCCTTTTATGTAGCATTTGACCAAGCAACCAATCTAGAAGATAATGAGCTTTTGCCATGCCAGTGACATGGCAGGCTGCCCCTCTCCCTGCTCATTCCTCAGAGGATCTTCCTAACAATACTGTCTAAAAAACAGGTGGGCAAAGCATGATCATCCTGACATTGTTGGACTGCAAGATGCAGCCTTCCTCCAGCTATACTGACTAAGGCCAATAGGAGTTGTAGCGTAAACCACTTTGCCCACCCCACTCGAGACAATGTTGGGAGATGACCAGATGAGAAACTACTCATCTCAACTCCATATGGAGCTTCACAGCTATCAGCCTTCCATCTCAGAAGGAAAGGGATAAAAAAAGGATCCGGAGGAAGAATCAGGATGGGTATTGCCACAACAGTTCAAGATCTATGCCAGAGGCAATCATCTCACTCTGCCTCATGGCAGGGACAGTTCTGTATTCTGCTATCATTTCAATAGAACACACAAATATAACTAGCATTCTATACTTCATCAATTCTAGCATTCGATTTTACGATAGTGAGGGAGCAGTTTTTAAATACTCAGGAATAGGATACATTCTACTTTCTCCCTGGAAATGCAAAAGTATGTGTATGTTTTTAAAAGTTCAGTAATGACTGAGCATGCTCAACAATCACCAGAGCTATGAAACGATCAGTGGGAAAAGAGCAGTTGCAACAACAACAACAACAGTTAAGGGACAGGTTAATTAAGATGAGACTATGCTTAGCTTTAAGTCAAGATCAATACAAAAAAATGAGAAATTCACACCTGTGAGGAGAGACTGGAGAGGGGCAAGCACTGTTAGCTCCCTGTTTTTTAACTGTGGGAAAAATAGAAAGCAACGCTATATGCCGACAAGCACTGGATGCTTCAGAAAACATTTTAAATCTATTCCAGTTTGGGAAAGGTTAGAAATCTGCAAAGTTGAATGGGGTGAGTATTATGAGAAATATTTCATTGCCTTCTTAAATATGACACAGTTCTTAAAGAGAAAATCTTCTCTGGAGTTTAGAGCCCTCATGTAGACCAACACATGCAACTTACTGCTTGTAGATGCCATAGACACATATCCCACCATAGAGAAGTTCATTCCTCTGTAGATGTATCTTCCTTCCAAGAATGTTGACATATTACAACTGGCTCTCAGGAAGGACTGTGCTAAAGCTTATTAAATGCAGCCCAGAAACAAGGCAGCAGCCACTACTGACCAGAAAAATGAGTATATTTTAATTATTATTTATTTATTTATTTATTCAATTTTTATACCACCCATCTAACCCAATGGTTACTCTGGGTTCAGAACATGAATAACAAGAGCATAACAAAAAGTTACATAATCAGTGTTACATAATTAGTTTTGTTTGTAACCACCTAATTTTGCTCCTTAAAAATCTGCTTACAAGAGTAAAAAACAAACAAACAGATTTTTGGCTGCAGTAAGGCAATACAAATTGCTGTCCTTGCCCTCATAAACCCACCCCAAACCTCCTAATGTTGGCTAAGCAACCACATACAGAACTGTTATTTCTTGCGATATAATTATCTGTTAGTCACAAGAATGGAAGAGTATTTATCAATGAATCAGGTGTAACCATTTTAGAGAAAGACTAACGCTATGCCACAGGCAAGAGAACCTGTTTCCAGAAAGCTTGAGTTTCCATCTCACAAGAATAGTTTACTATAACTATAAATTGTAAGCAGGAGAACAGGACCTTTGAATCATTTATTAACTTGCAAACCATTTTATCTTTCCCTCTTTTTTGGGATACTTGCTTATGTAAGAACTGCAGCAACAGAAAACTATAGTCTACATCAAAAGGTTAATCCAAACTAAATTTAGATGGAACCTACCTTGTGGGATGAAAGTATTTTGTTACCAAGATCCCACTGATACAACGGCTAGGGCCCAACAAGTACTTTGGTATCTCTCACTTGCACACTTGAGATTTTCTTTCACTTTTGCCCTTACTGCAGCCCTCTGTGTTGCCAAAATGCTGCCTCAGAGATTCCCTGGCTCTCTATATTTATTTATTTGTTTATTTATCTATTTATCTATTTATCTATTTATCTATTTATCTATCTATCTATCTATCTATCTATCTATCTATCTATCTATCTATCTATCTATCTATCTATCTATCTATCTATCTATCTATCTATCTATCTATCTATCTATCTATTTGATTTTTATCCCGCCCTTCTAGACATATGTCTACTCAGGACAGCTCACAATATAGCAGGTTTTGGAAAGTATAGGGAAATTCTGTGGGGGCAAAGGTGTCTGCTGGAAGAAGCGTATCATTACAGTCTACTTAACGCACCTACTCTAATTAGAATGAACAACTGGATTTGGGTCTATTTCTGCATCAGCATCAGTTTTAAAAAGTTGTAAAAGTTTATTTTGAAAAGTATTTTCAAAATTCTTTAGAATTTAATTTCTGCACAGATTGGGAAAATACTACATGATTTATAAAAAATGCAACTGACAGAAATAAGGGATTATTATGGTATTAGCATGTTTCCAGAACATTACAGTAAATATATTATAATACAAAATATTTTAGTAAATACTATATTACTACATCATTTATCTTGTATTTTGAGTGACAACTGTTGAATTATATTTGCATTTCAAACATCTATCATTTTTAAAAATATGGTCAGACACAAGTTTATGTTTCAACCAAATATGTTACTAGTCCTTAATGAAGAAAGTGAGGATTGCTAGACTAAGATAAATTAATGAAGAAGGCTACAAATATAAATGGAATTTTAAATGATTTTTTTCTCTCTCTTTTAACCTGGTGATTTTAAATCATTTATTCTTCTTCCATATTCTCAAAGCCAATCTGTCTTGTTCTCCCTGATTCCTAAACAGGACAGGAATTTGTCATGAGATCAAGGGAAAATGGATACACAGAAACACTTACACCTCATGGTGTCATTTTAATGATTCCTATCGATGTCAACAAGGGAGATAAGAGAATGCTACTTGTTACATGAGACGCACACCCTAGTGTCCAGTAAAATATTTTTCGTTGTGTTCTTACCGTGAAATGAATCCATCTTAGCTTTAATTAACATCCTTAATCTTGCAACCTCTTGTCTTTTCAATTCATCCAGCTTTGTTCTCACATGATGACTAACTAAGTCTAACTCTTTGCTCAACTTTCCACTCTGTTGACAAAAAACAAGCAAATAAATTATGCTGGTAGCCTGTAATTTTTCTACAAGTTAACTGCCTCAGTTAGCTATGCTCTCCTCTGAAATATTTCACAACTGGAAGAAATATTACTTACCTGAACATGGAAATAGAATCTAAAAGCTGAATATACTAATTTTCAAAATAAATCAGTACCATAACCCAGATAAAATCTATTCCAAAGCTCAGTGACAAATGTCCCTTTGCCTTGTACTTTGAATGGCTTATTTGTTTCATTCACAAATCAAGGAAACACAATTACAGAAGGACCCTCTTATCCACTGGGAATTAGTTCTACACACACACACACACACACACAGACCCTCTTATCCACTGGGAATTTCTACACACACACACACACACACACACACACACACGGTGGATGCTGTAAACCACAAATAATAGTGAGTACTATTCACAGTATGCTGAAAGAAAAAGAAATCTAGAAAAAAAGTATTTTCATCATGCATTACCAGAACTAGCCACTGGAAGGAGCAGAGACCATGCTATGTATTCCAACAAGAGTACATAGCAGGCTTCTTGCTCTCTCTAGTGGCCAGTTCTGATAAATACATTGTGAATATACTTTTTTCAAGTTTTTTTTTCTTTTAATATTTTCAGACTGCAAATAAGTGAAACTGCTGAAACTGATTCCGTGGATACCGGAGTCATAGTGTATTTTGTTTTCTCTTATTTGTTTTTTTGAACACTGCTTTGAAATTTTAGTGGTCCTCATCGTCATCGGGGCTTTGGAAACAATACCATGGAATTTTATAAAGTATTATAATCAGCTGCAGGTTTCAGAAAAAAACACCATCAGATCCACAAAAAATGCAATATTAGGAAAAGTGTATATATATTTCATTGTTATTTAACAGATACATAGATTTTTAGCTAAAACTTGCATCTGTTAGATAATACCAGTCAATGTTTTTATAATTTTGATTGACTGTGCCTGGGGTTTAATCATAACCATCATCATCATCAGAATTGCTTCAGGGTTTCACAATAATTATTCACTCACTACATTATACTGTGTTATCTTATCATGCTGAGAAGCAGGAAGAAAAGCTGCCTCTTAATGAATGGGTTGGTAATTTTTCAAAATCTTATAGCCTTAATGTGTCACACAACATTACACAGTCAAGGTAGATATGCCAGTTTGGCTATTGCTCCACAGATAGACACAGTACAGCCCAGATGATGGATAAATGGTTTATCTCCATGGCAAGAAGGGGTGTGGGAAGAAGTCAGTTCATATAAAAAACTGGATATGGAACTGCTTCCATGTTGGTAGAAGAAAACAGGGACAACAAGCCAGGCATTCATAGTGTGGGGACAGACTATATTTATCTCTGTTGTCCTTATAAAAGATCCTGCTGCTTCTTTTAGGTAACAAATCAAAGCAATAATTACATTTCCTCTTTCCCTAACTTTATAGGGAACAGAAAGCATACAATTAGGGATCAATGTATTATTTTTTCTGTTTTTCACTATATATTTATGTGTGTATGCTTCTTCTCTCTCTTAACACTGGATAAACAGATACATCCTTCTGTAGTTCTGCCAGTGGTGATGGCTAGTGTCCTTTTTACCTCACATCTGAACTGACATGAAAGATATGGAATCCAGGCTCAAAATGCTATTTCTTACCTGGTACCTATTATTTACTGTCTGCAGATTAGGCAATGTAGATATTAACAAATTACATACCTATGTCAACAGTAAATTCAAGAACCAAAGTAATTTTCCTTATGTTCTACACAGTACTTATGTGGCTTCCAGGATCGTATTAAAAATGAGCTTCATTTGTCTAAATATTACATATGCATACACTTGGTTTCAATGCGACAAATTTAAGCATGCATTTATCTATTGATGACAGAGAGCACTTAAAAACATGTAGTATTCTGTTGATGAAGATTTACCATGTTATCTTTTCCCTTCATTCAGATCTTCTTGTCACTGTACATACCTTTATTTCTTCTATGTCTGCTGTCTGAAGCTTCTCTCTGAAATGTTTATCTGTCTCCAGAACATCTATGACTTGCCTCAAGTAGGCATCATAATAAAGCCCGGTATCCTTTAAAAAGTGAACATCAGTTTAGTAATGGAGGGACAAGGAAGTTGATGATTTCTTTTCTCGTAGAGCAGTTAAAAATACTGTAGCTGATTAGGTCCTCAGTTCAAGTGATATTCTAAAATCTAACAACCAGTTTCTAAAATTTAATATTCAGTGCTGAAGTTTAAATTATATTTTCAAATTATAACAAATACCCATAAACGTAAAGATCACATTTGGAGTCTATTTTAAATGCCATTTTGGGGGTTTAACATGCCTCTACAGAGATGTCATTCCTTTGAAAAGGCTCTGCAGCACACAAAAGGAAAATAGAGGTTGGGATATTTTCTGTAAGGCATCCCTTTCTCTGTTTCCCCATCAGCTTTGAAAAAAATAACAGCTCATTTTAGATGTCGAACTAAATGAGTAGTGGGAGAGCAGTGATGAGATACCAAATGTTTAAAAAAATCAAAATGGCTGATTTTCTTAAAAAGCAGGATTTGGAACCAGATGGTGATGTGAATTCCTTCGCACTATCTGCATGTTTTCTTCCAGGAGTACAGAAGTCAAACTCAGGGCTTCTAGGGTTTTAAAAAGAACAGAGTCTATCAAGTTCCCATCGGGGGCTAAAATAAGGGGGGGGTGAACCTTTGGCCAGATGTTTTGGATGCCTATTAGCCCTAGTCAGCATGACTGACGGTAAGAGATTTTGAAAACTGTCATCTAAAACATCACAAGGGCCAATACTTTCCAGCCTAGGGCTCATTGCTTATAAGGAGAGACATTTAATAGACAGTTATTGCAACGCAGTATGTATTGTTCCATCATCTGTGATGAAATATAATATTTTTAGTCTTCTTTCTAAAATTTTAAAATACTTACACATGAGTCAGTCTAAGAAAAGAGAAATGTTTGGTCTAAATGTATCTATATACTTCTATTTAAATTTGGAGCAATGAGCTTTTTATTTCCTTGATCTAACTTTCTTTTCTGTTTTGTGTTCCGCTTCTAGAACTTTCTTGAAATTAAAGGATTTTTTTTTAAAAAAGGGAGGCAGAACACAGATCTGAGTGCCAAAGATGGATGTGACATCATATTCTGATTTAAAATATTGAGCAAGCTCCTGTTGATGGGGTTACTCTGGTGCAAACCAGATTTGGGTAACAGAAATAATTCGTTTAAATAAATTTTAAATTTCCCTTCCCCTTCCTTCAGAGTTCAAGCTTTATTTCATTTGGGAAACCTTGCAACTGCAGGGAGAACCCTTAATAGTCAACAATTGCACCCATATTGCCATTGCTGGGATTGGAACTGCCAGCAATGACTTTTTGAGTATTAAAAGCTCCTTCTCTGACACCCCCTGCACGCCCCCTAAAGCTCACAAAGGCTTTCCCAGGGCAAAAAGGGAGCATGTGGACCTCAAAAAGAGGAAGGGGGACAGGAAGCTTTCAATTTATTTGAATTAATTATTTCTGGTGCTTAGATCTGGTTTACTCTGGCATAATTACTGTACACTAACAGTATTTTGGCCACTGTCAGTTCAGAATTAACTTTAGATAGTAATTCTTTAAATGTTGGTAGAAAAATGATTATTTAATTAATTCACTTACCGGATTGTCTACTTGTGCACTCTCTACATTTTCTCCCATTGTTACTTTTGTTTTGTCTACGTCTATAGGTACTGCTTCCAGTGTAATCATAAGAGAGGTAAGCAGCAAAATGCACTGTTGTAATAAGACACTTCTCCATCTTTCCTGGAATAAAACAGAAAAATAAAGCTGTAAGCACCCTTCCAATGTTATATTTGTCTTTTGTATTGCTCTTGTGGCAAAACATTAGCAATGTTAGAAGAATGTGCAATTCTGCTATATATTTACATATGACTATTTATAAAATTCAGAATCTAGGGAAGTGTGCCTGTGTCAATTTATCAATTAACGGAGGGATGGGAAAATTTAGTTCAGCAAGCTGATGATCAATCAAAATCCAAACTGGTAAATGGACACATGTGCAGGGTGGGGGTGGGTCTCAGGTTGAGACTCAACTAACTTTTTAAAACATCCACTGTATCCATTTCCTTCATTTTCCCCATCAAGGAAAGTCAAAGGGAAAGTAAAGGCACCCCCAATGTATACAAAAGAAGTATGCTTATAAAAACACAAATAGACACCAAGTTACATACATATAATGGATATAATAATCTGACTCATGTTAATTATTCCAGTATAGTCACAAATGCAGAAACCCAAGTTGTTTCTTTCAAAGTAAGATAGCCTAATTTCATCTACTCCCTGCAATGAGTTCAGAACAGTGAGTCCCTGTTCCTTCAACCCACTGGGTAGGGCTGGGAGGAAAAGAGACAAAAAAGAAGGGCTGACACCTCCCCTCATATTTAGGAAGAGACTCTCAAAAGCATGAAGTCTCCCCACTTCTGTTTTAGAGGATACAAATAACAGGTAGCTAAAGCAATAGCAAGAAAGCAATCCGGTGATAAACTCCAGTATTTCTAAGTGCAACCCTTCTTGTATGCATGCTGTTTCTGGAAGTATTCCACAAGGGATGCCACTCACAAAGAAAGAGGTTGCTTTAGATGACACAATGATGATGACCAAGGCTAGCCTATAGATTTGCAGAGAAACAGAAAAACTGGAAACCTCTGGCCTTCCACTTAGATATTGGCTAAAGTCCTCTTCTGTAAGTTGTGATGTGTAAGGCTGATGACATCATCAGCTACAGTGATTTTTTTTTCAGAAATAAAAAAGGCTGATTCCTTCCCCAGGGGAAGATGCTCAAAACCCAGAGTCTTGGTGCTCCTATCAAAACACTTTCATAATGGAGCCGGAGCGGGGGGCCATGGGACAGGGGAAGCTTTTAGTTTTTGAAAACTGCCACCAGCATAAAGTCATGCTGGCAATGGCAATTTTCAGAAGTTAAAAACTCCCATCCCATCCCAAAACCACCAACAGCTTCCTGACAATGAAAGGTATTCCATGGAATTCTCAGGATTTTTGGGGGAGAAATCAGAAATATTTCATTTCTGAAAAATTATTGTGGCTGATGATGCCATCAGCATTACATGGTGAAGCTACATGAACAGGATTTCAGCTAATGTAAGTGAAGTCAAGCCTGCAACCATCTTGTCTGGGCACACAGTGGAAAACACAGGAAGAAAGGGGAGGAAGTTTGATCTTAAAACCAAGTAGCCAAGATGAAGTCTGTGCAGATATTAAAACCGGGCTTATTGTGTGACAATACCATTTCAAGTTTCACCCTGTTATCCAACAGAGTTGGATAGGCAGAAATGTTTCAGCTTCCATCCTAGAATATTAGATAAAATGTATTTGTATGTATCTTGTAAGTTATTACAGGCTCAACACAATGATAGTATGGAGGTCAGAGGAGAGGACTGAAGTGGTAGAAGAAGTAGATTTTGCACTTTGAAATAAAATGATATTGTACCAATCAATGAACGACCAACATCAAAATACGGATAGGTTTTCGCAGTTGGGAACTAAAAAGCATTTAGCGGCAGTCACTGCTCCAACATCAAGAAACAGTTTCGGACAGCCTCCTGTTTCCAGATTAAATATTAAGCAGAATGCAGTCACGGCCAGCAGTGTGGCAGGAACTTCTTTGCCATCTCTTCCAAATGCAAAGGAGCTTTATTTCGAGAAAAACAAGCTATAACAAAACAAACGCTTTACTAGATGCAGAAGTCGCATGCCTTAAGATGGTATCTACTGTATGTACCAACAACTCTACACTCAAGAGCTAATGGATGAGTCAGACTTTGAACTCAGATAAGCATTAATGTGAGTCACAGCTTTGAGTACATAGTAAAGGGTAGTGAAACTAGCTGAGGCAACATTCATTGATTCAGTGAATAAAGCATACTCTTTAAATTTCCCCACCTTCATCCATAGCTCAGATGTATTTTGTCTTTGTAACACTCTTTAGGATTTTTAGGATTCCTCCTAGCTTTGCATTTCTCCCCAAAAACACTCCTCATCTACAACTAGGCAGGATTAAGTTAACCTGCCTCCCTCATCTCTTGGAGCACTGAAGCAGAATAATCAACAAACAGCAAGTGAGGGTCACTTCACCATTTGTCTGGGCCTTGGCAGGAAACTCTGTCAATCTCTTTGCCGAGTTTTGGAACTAGTTTGCTATGAAGATTGACAGCTAGTTCCTATTAAAACTTTACCAGGTCCGTAGAGGATCCTTTACAGAGGGTCTGATCGCCAGTAGATAAATCAAAGGTCAAACTACTAGACTATGTACCTTCAAGTTTAAAACCTAATGAACAGAAAAAAGTTAAACAGCTGCAAGAGCCACTTCTTATTCCACTTCCTTACTACCTAGTATGTTTTATTTTTAATCTGCCACTCTTCACTGTAAACATTCCCTGGATGACATAATACCAAAAATCAAAAACTTAAAAATGGGACAAATCAGGAAAAATGCTATCTCAACAGGGAAAATAAAACACGTATTTGTCTGGTTCCAGAAAAAAGATTACAAGATAGGTACTGCTACACCGGGTGAAAGGTGTTACAGTGGACCCTCGACTTACAGATGGCTCGACTTACAGACTTTTCGAGTTACAGACTTCTCTGGCTGCAAAATTTAGATTCGACTTGCAGCCGTAGGTACTGCTGCACCGGGTGAAAGGTGGTATAAGCTATTAACATCACTTGAGCCTCCAGAACAAAACTGTATGGATAAGTAAATGAGCAACTCCTAGAGTTTAGTGGAATTATATTAATTCATGCTAGGAGCACTGGGAGGGGTGCATCTGCCCTACATCCACCATTTTACCATGTCTCTAGCCCTCCCCTCAGTCACAAAATACAGATGCTTTCAGGAGTGCAACTGACTATTTAAGCCCCCTTTTTTACTCCCATAATCTAAGGAGGGTTTTCTCTTCCAAACCAAAACTAACTTTGGTTTTGTCTGTTTGTGTTTGTTTGTTTAGTTGGTTGTTTTAAGAAAGAAGACTTCCCAGTCTAAAGCAGACCTGGGAGGAATGAACAATCATGCCTCCTAAAAGTTTCTGGGTTGGTCATTAAAGGGTGTGAGTGTGGCAGGATCAAGGGGCCTAGGGGTATTGCATACAACCTGTGAGCTTCACCTTGCCCAGCCCTGGCATAGATAATCCCTCAGATTACGGACCTGATCATCTGTGGGAGTGCAACCCTGTCCAGGTTGAATCCAACCTCCACAGCTAGATGAACCACCTAAAGAAGTGGTTCTTAACCTTGGGTTACTCATGTGTTTTTGGAATGCAACTCCCAGAAGCCTTCACCACTAGCTGTGCTGGCTGGGGTTTCTGTTCAAAAACACCTCAGTAATCCAAGGTTAAGAACCACTGACCTAAAGTACTTCCCCTCTTATTGAGGCAGACCTTCTCCTTCTTGGCCATCACTCACCTGTTACTAACTATAGACATAAATTTTCACACATAAGATGTCAAAAAAACAACAACCTTGGGAGACTGAAGTTTGTCATTTAGTCTAGGAAAATGAGGAGGATCAAAACTGATCCTCCTCATTTTCCTAGATGTCCTTCTGCCATAACATGCCATTCAAATCATTCTGTGCACTTTCTTCACGAAAAACAAGCCTGAAACCCAACAGAAAGGAATCCAGGTATTTTTTTAAAAAAAAATGGTAAGCCTAATTACTTACCAAAAGAATGCACAAACATCCATGATACTGCAGTACAGATAAAACCATTGAAATGATCTTGCCACTTGTATATTAATTACTGTAGACCGGGGGTCTCAAACATGCAGCCCGGGGGCCATTGTATATTGTAGACAGGGGGTCTCAAACATGCGGTGCGGGGGCCATTTGCGGCCCGCCGGATGATAGTTTGCGGCTCCCCGCCTTGCGTGCCCCCCCCGAAGCGCCCACGCATCCTCTGCTGTCAAGAGTCAAAAAAGTCTCACCTCGCTCACCGGCTCTCTCCCAAGACAGCCTGTCTGCTGGCTCGCAGGCTGCAGTTCTGGATGGGTAGACAGGGGGTCTCAAACATGCGGTGCGGGGGCCATTTGCGGCCCGCCGGATGATAGTTTGCGGCTCCCCGCCTTGCGTGCCCCCCCCGAAGCGCCCACGCATCCTCTGCTGTCAAGAGTCAAAAAAGTCTCACCTCGCTCACCGGCTCTCTCCCAAGACAGCCTGTCTGCTGGCTCGCAGGCTGCAGTTCTGGATGGAGGATGCAAGAGGTGTTGTCTTGGGGGAGAGCCAGTGAGCGAGGCACGCTGCCAGCCCTTTCCCACAGGCGCCCGAGCCACCGCCGAGCGGAGCTCGCTCCTGGCCTGGCCCATCCTGGAAGAGCTCCTCCAAGCCGCCAACAGCAGCTGCCACCGCCACCACCTCTTCCATGGAAGCAGCTTTCTGGCTCTCTTTCTCTCTCGGCACCCCCAGCACCAGCCTGGCCAGTGGCTGCCTCAGCACCCAGTGGTGCTTCCTCCTCTTCATCCCGCTTCACCCACCTCAGCTCTAGAGGCTGCCTGGACTCGCCTCACAAACTTTGCTCCTCTGTTATGCTGCTGCTGAATGTGCCTTTTTTTGAGGGGGGACCCTCAGAGGAAGATTGCTGGACCTCTGTGTGTGTTTGTGTGCATGCGCACGCGTACACCTGTGAAGGCCCCCGCCCCGTTCTGTTTAATTTTGCGGGTACCGGTGGGGGCTTTTCTCCTTTGGCAAGGTAAATTCTGTGAAGGTTTTGTTTTAAATTTATGCCGTGCCCT